TTTTATTCTAATTCTTACCATTTCCACGAAAGCGCTGTCTGTCCGGTTCGACGTCCCATGTTGTGGATCAGTTTTTGAGTAGGAATTCCACCTTGCCAACGCGCTAAGATCCATACACGAAACTTCCTTTACTTTCTATTGTATCATGTGTGCATCCCATTGAATGGAAAGTTAATTGGTCATTTTTCGTATTCGCAGAGGTCAACGTCTCAATACGTAGATGAGATTCATAACTTCCAAGGGCTTCTCCAACTATTAACCCTACCTAGTGCATGGCGCACCTCAAAGCAGAAGAGTAATAGCGGTAGTGAAAAAGTGGCCACTAGGGTAGCTCGACTACTAAGGGCTTACAAGAAAACTTTGGAAAAAATATTCAACTGTCTACAACTTCCTGAAAGGTTTCAGTGCCATCATGAAGCACAAAGCTTGTGCGATGTCATGGTATCATTATTCCTCATAAAATTGAGTTTGAAGAGAGCTGTAAGTGTTTGAGTGTTGAAAACTCGTGTTTTCAGGAAGAGTTGCTCCGAAAATTCATGAAAAAATTGTCCAACGGGGCGATTTTTTGAACGAGTCATTTTGGGAACGAAATGAAAAATTCATTAGAAAGCACTAACCTTCTAGTTTCTTCCAGGGGCAAAGAATTGCAAAAAGTTCATCTGAAGAAAGTTATAACAGTTCAAAGCCAAAAAACCAGCGCTCTGCAAAAAATCGGTCCGCGATTTCCCAAAACGGTCCAACGGGGCGATTTTTTGACTCCATCAATTTTGAAAAGAGTTCAAGTATTCGTTAGAAAGCTCTAACCTTCTCTTTACCCAGGGGGACAAGAATTGCAAAAGGTGGAATTTGAAGAAAGTTATAGTCATTGAAAGCCAAAAAACCTGGTTCTGAAAAAAAACGGTCCAACGGGCGATTTTTTGAAGAAAAGAGACGTTGCAAAAGTTTGAGTACTTTTTAGGAAAAAACAATGATGATGTTTAAAAGTTTCTTAGCTTTTCTCACGTTTCCTTGCTTAAAATTCCAACCTTTCAAAGGAAGAAGTGCGCATTTCTGTGAATTCCGGTTTCTCTACCCCATAACTAACATAGTTTTGAAGAAACTGCAAAAAAGTGTTTTCGGAAACTAGGGGTCTCGTAGATTACAAATCCACTTTGCGTTTTGAAAAATATTGACGCTGAACAGAATTACACTTTTAAAAAGTAGTAGTAGTAAAGTTTGTAGTCCGCCTCGGTCTATCCGCGCTGGGTCGAGGGGAAGATTGTGCGCGCCAATGCGAACGCAACGCTCCGTGCTCAATTCGGTTCCCCGGGGGGAAGTTCTACTTATATCCAAGTTCTGTTTTATGGTGTTTTGTATTTAATCCTTATATCGCTATTCTCGAGTAGGATACACGTTTATATATCCGTATACACACATAGACACAAACAAATGGTGTTGGTGGGGGGGGTCGTATCGAGGCCCTCCAGAAGGGGAGGGGTCGTAAAATCTTTGAAATTTGTCCAACGTGACGGTTGACCCTGATTTCAGGGTGTCCACATACTTCTGGTACGCCCTGTATAATCGCAAATGTTGGAAGTTACCGGAGGTTTTCAAACTTATTGGAAAGAAGAAAGCTTGCAGGGTTCGAATCTGCTTTTAGTTTTGTACAAAATCGTCCCTGAAGGGAGTTATACTTGTTGAAAGAGTGCCAATTGCAGCAAAGGAAAATCTCTGGGCGGTACTCGGGCAGAAATCCTCAACGGAGTTTTCGAAATACTGGATGAATCAGCTCACTCCAACAACTCTGAATGAAGCAAACCTTCTTGCTTACCATGATATATCAAATTATCAGATTTGTTGGTCTTGAAAGAAGTTGTCGTTCTGAGAGTGTACAGACTCACGCTTTACTTTTTCTTTTCGCAAAAACCCTTAACGTAGCCATTTTTGACGTACTAGGCCGCGACAACCTACTTTAACGGGTGCAGGACTTTCGGCTCGCCCGAGCTGGCGCGTGGCGGCATGCGCGGCGATGCGGAGAAGACAAGGTTGCGGATTCTGCAGTAGGATTCAAGACATCGAATCGTGTACAGATTGTGAACAAACCCCAACTAATTCTGCGGTTTGGAAAATCTCTCGCGAAGATTAGATGCAGCGGTCGAGGAGATTTCAGCGCCGAGAGGAGTAGCTTCATGGAAGTGTCACCGCTATCATCACAGCGATAAGGAACACGAAATCAGAAGTATTGCAGAGATAGATTTAATTGTTTATTTACTTTTGTGGCAACTATTTTTCTGAGCCGCCGATGCGCCCATTTCCTTGGGAGAAACATTCAAAACAGGGCCGATGGTAGGTGACACTAGGACTAAGCCCAGGAGAGGAGAGAAACGCCAGGGAGAACACAAATTGCTCACATTCTCCCACAGAACAGAATCCCCTCCCCTCCCTACGATTTGCTTTTAAGCGCAATATTGGCTCACTCACTTAAATGCCCTTCAAGGTTGCTGGACATAGGGGTAAATGAGGGAACCACAGAACAATGGTTATTTTTCCTGAACGGCCCTCTGAATACCAGAAAAGGGGGTCCCTAGTTCGATTCGTGGTGACAAATTTTTGCATTTCGAGTTGACGTTCCAAAATTCGCGCAAAATGGAGTCTTATGAATTGTTCTGGTTGGTTCTAACTCCATTTTGCGCGAATTTTGGCACGTCAACTCGAAATGCAAAAATTTGTCACCACGAGGAATCGAACTAGGGACCCCTTTTCTGGTATTCAGAGGGCCGTTCAGGAAAAATTAAACATGGTTCTGTGGTTCCCGCATGTGCCCCATACCATGCAGAATATCGTTTTGAAAAAGCTTGGCAAGAGAAAAGACAAAATATAAGACATTATTGCAGCCCAAGTTCCGTAGCCCCTGAGTACTCCTCGAAATATCACCACCAGATCAAATTTCTGAGGTTAGCAGCAGTCGATAATGGAGTTGTGAGCTGGGTCAGACGAGTTGGTGCGAGCCTGCCTGCTCCACGGCGCAACCAGGCCGCGCGTACTCGAATTAGCCGCTACGCCGTAATCCATCGCGAGTTATGAAGCGTGTGCTACGGAACTCGTGCAAATGCTAACAATAAGAATAGTCGCAAAATGCTGGCGACCGCATGTAAGACCCTAGCGCCATTGTCGCGCATTCTCGAGCCGCAACAGCGGTACATGTATGATACAAGTGGGCTACTATATCCCAGATTTTTCGATACGATTTCTGCTGGAGGTGTTGAAGGTACTGTGTCGGTCAGAGGAGTTTTTATTCCCATTCGGCTGGCCGATCTCTATGAACGCCGTAGATGTGAAGTACGCTGGACTGCAATGTTTTGGGAATATTTCCCTATCATATGCTCATTTGATTTTCCAATTCGTATTTATATCCTTTCTACCGTCTCATTTTTCCAACTCATGCTTGAGAGGGCGTTGAGCGAAGTCAGCTTAATGGTCATTCTCGTGAGTGACAAGTTGTACGTCAAACGGCAAACTTGCCCGCAGCTCCTGCAAGGAAAAATAGGTATTGATTGTAGTGTGCATTAGTGCATCATACAATTGTAGATGGAATCACGTTTACGTGGAAGGAACTCTTACGACACTCGGCTGCAACGATACCTATTTTCACTACGGCAGCTGGGTGCTAGTTCGCCGAGTTTGAACGCACTCATTGTGGAATGTCCTTGTGGGCAGCCAACAGAAATGAAATTATTAAATTTTCCCTTTCCATCACCCTTTCCAGAACCTGGAATTCCAATAAGTAGACCTGAATTTTGGACGCAGGCTCAACTCAGCCCATTCTAACGGCCAAGAATCCGGGCAATAGGAAAGCAATTCTCCACCCGTGCTCGTCTGCTTGGACCTGTAGCATATATCTATACAAACATGATATTCCTTAGATTTTGAGTTTCGAATTTGGGAAGTTGTTTTAAAGGAGTTTTTCACCTGACCTTTCAGTCTTCCTTCTATAACTTCCTCCTATTTTTTTCTCCTTTCTGCCGTTCTATTCCACTGCTATTAATTCAGGTTGCCTAGGTGGTAACCCGTCCCTTTCCAAGTGTCGCCAATCACAATTCTAAATACTTACTATTACTTCCTCCCTCCCAGTCTAGCTCAACGAAAGCACCTTGTTGGGTGATGCTGTGAAGTTTCGCCGCCCTCGCCCATACAAGTCTCACTAATGACCTTCAGCAGTCAGCAGTGTGGCCAGTGTCTCGCTAGGATTCGCTGGTCGCCATGGGAACGTCGCGTAACAATGTGGTGACAGAAAAACGACAAATGCCATCACTACTAATCCGTCTCGATCGTCATCCTCCTTTTCTTATCTAATGCCATTATTTACTCGCCAAGCTGTTTCACTGGTGTTGTTTTTCTTTTGTGGCTGAAAACTTCCTTGGCAGAACCTCCTCAGCGCGTCTTCGATGTTCCTTTCTTCGAATCGGCTTTTTATCCAAACTCCGATTTTTATCCCGTTGAGGTGTATGACTTCAATGATTTTGGCAACTTCTGAATCCCTTTGTTTCTTTGGGCTCTTTCTCTTGAAGCAACTCTCGCCAGTAGAAATTGAGTGCAGTACTTGCTGCAGGACCGCTCTGTGGTTATAGCGTGAGGCTGCCTTTGTTCATAGTAATGTTTGCTTGTTGTTGTCCATTGAGGTCGAGAGCCTCAGCCAAATGGCCCACTATGGAAGGCGCCACACTTTTTATGGTGTTTTTCGTTGTTGCCTGCCAACAACACACGCTGGGCTTTTCACTGCGCTCATTCGATCTATATTTGAGCAGAATTTCTTCGGGTACAGGCTTTTCTTTCTCGACGAGATATCTAGTGTTCCGTACCTAGACGAATTTTGGCCACGTTTCTTTCACCTTTGTGTTTACCCGTCGTTGCTCTGGTTTGATGGTTGTTATTCCGAAAGCTTGTTCTTGCTGCCAGAATTCACATCAGTGAGAGCTGTCGATACTAAGCAGTCCACTGCAAGCCGATGAAAATGTTTTGACATGGGATCGGCTGTGACTCGTGCCAGCTCGGCCAAAGTTCGGCCGGTTCGGCCAAGCGGCTGTGATCCATCTCGCACCACAACAAGTCTCGGTTCCCACTTGAGCGAGACTAGAAGCAGTGAGTTGCATTACTAGTACTTCCGTCAACAAATGAACCCCTGCAATGGTTGCCTCAGCAATTCTGAGCGCCAAAGATCCCGCTCGCGCCACTGAGGTCAGACCATAAACTTTACAAAGCCGACATTCAGGCCATTTTCTCTGAACGTAGGTGTCGTGACTAAAAGGAGTTCAAACCTTTGGGAAGGAAATCAAACATTGGCACTCGGTTCGACTTGTCCTTTAGAAGGTGATGTATGAAAGCAGAAGAGATGCAGCCAAATTCTGCTGGGACGCAAAACCCGGCTTTAGCATAGGGGATAGAAGCACTTCAGCGGTGTTTCCGGTTGACGATCAGCTCCACACTAAATCCTCGTCCACACATTCACAAATGTAGGAAGAGCAAACTGAACTAGCAGCCAGGGTCAACCGTCCGTTCGAACTGTTCGAACGAAGGGGTCGCATTTTGGTCGGAAGGGGGTCGCAATTTCGAGGACTGCCAGCCACAGGCGCGTGCGTGGCGTATCCGAGGGCAAGACTTGCTTGTGCAGACCGCATTAGATTCGATTATTATGCACAGAGAGACAGTTTTAGGCAAATTACGGTGTTTTCCTTAGGAATAAAGAACAGTTGAATGCATCCCTATGAAAGGTTTGACTTCTCGGGGCTGAAATTAAAGTTCTTCGGGACCTAATTTTTGGGGACGCTTCTTCCAGACAACTGTAAACACATAAGAAAGCAGAAATCTCGTAGTCTTCAAAAATGTCTTCGCCCCTCCCCAACAAGTTCTTTGAAGGAAGTTATTATTGCTGAAAGCTCAAAAACTCGCATGTGCTGCTCAAAAACCTATGGGAACAAAATGTTCGAACGTGTGATTTTCTCGGAAAATGGATTTTGAAAACGGTTAGCTTGTCAGAAAGAGCAAATCCTGTACTTTCACCCATGAAAAAAGTGCATCACAGAAATGAAAATGAAGTGAGTTATGCCCGCTTAAAGCCCAAAAACTCGCGATTTCAAAAAAAGTGTTCGGCAAAACCCCCCAAAATGTTCGAACGTGTGATTTTCTCGAAAAATGAACTTTGAAAAACGGTTGGGCTTGTTAGAAAGAGCAAATCCTGTACTTTCACCCCATGAAAAAAGTGCATCACAGAAATGAAAATGAAGTGAGTTATGGTCGCTGAAAGCCCAAAAACTCGCTTTTGCACGGAAAAATGTTCGAACGGGACAATTTTTTGAAAAAGGGGACAATCACTAAACTTTTTATACTGTTTTGTTAGAGAAATATTTGAAGTTTCTGAAACTTTTTACAGATTTCCAAAATGTCGCATACGAAAGATTTTATGGGCCTTCAAAGTTGAAGGTGCGCCTTCTTAGAATTTTGGGTTTTCCACTTCTAACAGAAGTACTTTCCGGAGAGTTAGGCAATCCTTGTAGTTTTCTGAAAGCGCACCTCAGGCACAATCAAAATCTACCTCAACAAGTCAAAAAAGTACGTCCCAAGAAAGTTATTCCCCTCTAAAATTTTTTCTTCGCCGCGTCCCGTTCTTCCAGCGCCCGGGTGATACCTGCCGCGCTCCAAGGCTGACGCCGCAACGCAGACGCTTTCTGCGGCGGCGGCGCAGACGCTTTCTGGCGCAACGGATTCATGTCTAGCACTCTTATTAACAAAAACAGGGGGTCGCAACTGGACCCCTCGAGAGCTAGGGGGTCGCAAAAATCCCGAAAATGTTCGAACGTGACGGTTGACCCTGCTAGCAGCTCGTCCATGCTTTTTGAAGGTTGTTGATCTTATTTAGAGATTTTCCCTTACACTGACAAATGAATGATTATTATGATTCACTTTTTTGTTTTATTCTGAACCACTATGCAGAAAATGAGGGGCTGGGGAATGCGTGGCTCTGCACCTCCGCGACTAGTGGGTTCCTACTGCGGCTCCACAACCACCTGCTTTGACGACGTCGGCCGCTGTATTCACATGTGTAGTAGGTTTGCTGGTGAGCAGATAAACCATAACATCACATAAGTTCGATCAGCCAAAGAGGGTATTGGATAAACTCCCGATATTTATAGGTTTTATTTATTTTATTTATTCATGCACTGCATTAGGTAGAGTTGAGAAAAAACAACAGCATGCTGTACTAGAACCTCCTACAACTACAGTAGCGGTCAAAAGGTTTGGAAACTTTTTTATTTTTGATCTAGCGCGGCCGACACATAACGAAATTGTCCTCAAATTTAGATATTACATACAAAATCAAGTCCAGAATACGACGGGAAGAATAATTTCCAAAAATCATATTTGAGAAATAAGATTTTTTTCAAGTAATGGCGCGTCAAAAGTTTGGAAACTTTTTGTTTCCCTCATCATTATGATTCCTACTCTTCAATGTTACTTGTTTCTGTTAATTTTAGTTCAACCATTGAGTAATGTGTAATTTCAAAATGAATTCATATGCAAAGGAAGCAGTTTTCCATGGGAGGTCCTTTTTTAAACCCTACAATCCGGAATACGAAATTGAAATTGTTTCTTAGTAGTTCAGTCTCTACGGAAGCAATATTATCGAATGTTTCTAGCGTTGGAGTCGAGTAAGCATAAGAAGAATGATCATTCACAAAAAAGTATCCTCACAAGAAATTGGCCCTCCTCAAATACTTCGAAGGGTGGTTGGCACGTCCCGTACCCCCGACATCCCAACTAAGAGACTTTTTCTGGTTTTTTCCTAATCATATGAAAGTCCAAGTGCAGCCAACATCGGCCGCGACCTGGTGAATATTACGGATGATGTCCCAACAAGAAGCCATTGTTGGGCTTCAAGAGCAGGATGGCCCAACTGGCTTCCGCACGCTAATGGGTAACATGAAACGAAGGCGATGGGATTTCTGTCTTCCTAAGAATGATGTTGTGGACCCTGTGAAGTGTTCTATCAACAGGAAACCTTTTACCAGACCCAACAGTCAGAAATAGTGGAAGTATTGTCATGGATGAAGATGTGTCCGACCATTCGGCGATTCCCCAGTTCTATGTATCCAGCGAAATGTGGGTTGGGCTAAGTACAAGATAGTCTGTAGAATACAATGCTTCCTTCGATAGTCAGAACTAGCCGGAAAAGATGGGTTTTCTATCGCGGAAATGACCCAATGCAGGCCTACCTCCTCACTGCCGCCTTCCTAAACCCAGAAAAAGAAGCTGTTATGAAGCGACCAAGTCAAGATCTGAAGTCTAATTGAGTTCTACATCCCACGGAAGAGCTGGCATGTCGCTCAACCCACATTCAGTTAAGACCAAACAATGTAATTCCGTTGGCAGAACGGAGCTGATTATAAAATAATTCTAGAGCGTAAGTTGAACCTCGCGTGAGGGGTTTTGAACTCTAAAATTATTTTCTCATCGCTGAAATTAGAAATTAACAGCTACTCATCGAATAACTAATTTATCATGTGGATTTGAGAGCTATTTTGCCGAATTCGCTTTGGAATTGAGAAGTTTCCAAACTTTTGACGCGCCATTTCTTATAAAAATTCGTATTTTTCAAACGCAATTCTCGTTTTCTGAAAATTATGTTGCTCATCGTACCATGCAACTATCCAATAGTTTCCTACGTGATTTGAAGCTATGTGGTTTGAAGCTTTAACTCCCAAAGGGTGGACAAGGCACGCTAGATTTCGCCAGTTTCTCAATAGGGGTCGCATAAATGTGGTGCCCTACAGCATGTTATGATCCTGGTTTGCCTTGTCGCGTAATAAACATAAACATAAAAGTAAGGCTCAGTAATAAAGATTCTCTGCTCTTTTTCAAACAATTCAAGATGGACACTGTGGTTTCAATTGCACTGTTCAGCAGGGCAACAAAATTCTAATCTGCGAGACTCGTGTTTCACATTCCTTCGGCTCACAATCAGAGGGATATTCGTATAGTAAAAACAGCACAGAGCGATCCCAGTTTCCTGTCTGTGCTGAGTAAAAGTAATCGAAAACCATAGGAAAGCAATGACAGACAAAAGACGTACCATGGCTTGGTAGTGTCGGTCTTTCCGAGGTTCACTCTTTCTGTGTAATTAGGATCTCACATGATAATGATGTTCTCGTTCAGCGATACTTAATCCGAATCTGAGCACGAGTTCGTGGCACACACCGAAACGCAACAATTCGCTAATCTCCGAGGACCGATGTGAGTTTTTGCGTTTATTAGAACCTTGTCACCTTAATGGCAGTTCCTCCTTTCACCTTTGACAAGTTCTGCTTCCTTACAGCTGTGTCGGCCGCCATTAACCGAATCGCTCAAAGACATGCCGAGGTGAGTGGTTTACTTCTGGTACTTGCTATGTTCGGAAACATCAAAGAGTTTCTGGACTTGGCCGAGAAGCAACTCGTACTGCTCTGCTTCCCTAATGATTCACATCCTCTAACGATACTTCTGAGATGGGATGCTCCGCGAGGAATTACTAAGGCATACGAATACGTATTTATGGTATTCACAATGACCCATAGAGCACCGCCATTGCTCGGCTCGGTTTTTTCCTTTATTGCTCCATCAAAGGCACAACAATAGCTGGAATTGCGTCAAATCAGGGTTCCCATACTGCCGTGGATGTCCAAGAGGTTAGTACGAACGCATGGTAGCGACTGCGGACCGTGGAAGTGCGCAAAAGCTCATGGATTTGTTACTTGTCAACGCAACCATGGCGAGTGCTGCGCTCTGTTCGCTACTAGCACTATATGACTTCATTTAACAACAGTTCTCCTTAACTTATGATCATTCGATGATGCACGAGGGAAGTAAGCTTGCGGTGGAACGCCACACTACTGCAGCGTAGACTGGGCGACATAATGGACAACCCATGCAAGCACACAATTTTAAGGAGCACTGTAATATCATGCCATAGCATAAATAAGTAAATCCTCAAGAAAACTCCTGCTATCTGAGCATAGATATAAAGAAACTCACCGACGATGGTGGATGACTACGACGGTAATTGATACGTACTACACGTAATAAAGTTGATAGTAGTTGACACAACGCGTAGTACTAACAGCTTCCCAGTCGACAGTCCCATGTAGTAGATAAACGCCATGTTTTCCATTTTAATGTCGCACAGACAAATAGAATAGTAACCAGCTGAGCTTAAAAACAATTTATACCAGGTCAGAAAAATTCATGCTTGCTGAGACAGTATATTTAAGAATTTGATCGCTCGGCAGTGTAAAGCAAAAACGATGGGTCGATGTTACTGGAGAGATTTTGGTGCGATGTGGGGACTAAGGAGATCCCCAATTTCCGAATAGGAAGGAGTTTTCCTGATTTGTGGAGCAAATCTCTTGAACGGATAAGATCCTTGGAAATATGTATTGCTTCTCCAGGTCTCTCTGAATAAGGGGTTGAGGGGTGAGCTGTGGTACAATAGCTTATGCCGCTTATAGCATCCTGATTTCTGCAGGCGGAGAAGTTTAGTGAGCATGAACCATTTTGCCTTCCTCTTTACGCCCACCTCGAAACTTTTCCGGGAACCCCTGTAGGAGGCACGTGCTGTTGTACCACATGTTGTTTCCCGTTTCAAATGAACCACTTTCTGAACCTGGTGCTATACAAGTAGGGTGGGCACGCCGCATTTTTTGAACAGAAATGTATGTAAGTGGGACTGCTGCCCGCTACTATACTGTCACGAGAATCGGGGAATTCGTGAGCCAGGGGGAGTGTAGCCAATCTAGGGGGTGGGGGTGAGGGCAGTCACTTGACATGCGTGAAAAGCTGGGCGTGCCCACCCCATTTGTATAAAGCCCTTTGCAAATGCCACCTAATACGATCTCTGCGAGCCAGATGCGATGCACCCTTGTTGAGGAGTTCTCACCCTGTTGTAAATCCTCCTAACAACTCATTGACTACCGCGTATTGTGAGAGCGGAGGGAACAAGATTGTCTTTTGATCCTGATCTCTCGATGATTGATTGCTGGCAATTCATTTATTGCATCGACGATGTGTTTACTTTGACGCCTCTCAGTGGCAATGCCCCTTTGTTCCAGCATTTCTACTTTCTACGTTTAGTAGGCCCCACGGCGCTCGTGGCCTTAGGGGGGACATACTAAACGAGGTCGATAGTAGGTACCACTATGACCAAACTCAGTACAGGGGAGAAGCGTTAGAGAAAACAGCTCTATACAAGTGGGGTGGAGCACGCCCAACTTTTCACGCATGTCAAGATGCCCTCACCCCCACCCCCTAGATTGGCTACACTCCCCCTGGCTCACGAATTCCCCGATTCTCGTGACAGTATAGTAGCGGGCAGCAGTCCCACTTACATACATTTCTGTTCAAAAATGCGGCGTGCCCACCCTACTTGTATAGCACCCTGAACTTCTTAATTAGAGAAAATATACGTGATTTCAGCTATGTTGGCAGCCAACATCAAAATGCCCCCCCCCCCTCTTAGTTTGGAAAGGCGCTGAAATATGATGTGGAATAGAAGGAAAACATGGAATCTACAACAAAACATATAATGAATCTCGAAGAATTGCAAAAGAATGGGGATGAAGAAGCGAGAGAAACATGGACTGAGTGTGGTGACTGTGATTTTGACGATCATCACATCGACTATTGGGGGTCAGCTGGCCGTAGGCAGCACTGCGGTAGAGACCATCCCACCCTCGAAAGGCTGCGGAGGAATTTGACCTCTGCTGCTCTGCCTACCCATTCAAATTCAACAAAAATCGCAACTTCTGCTGTCAACTGAAGAAGCTCATTGACGGCAGGCTGCGACTGATTTCAAGATAAACGTGACAATATGGGACGCACTTTTCTTCTCTAGCTAATCCTCTTCTATAATATTTTGATGTGATGTGCGAAACCTTCACCGAAAAATTGACATGTAGGCAGCCTTTGCTAACAAACTGGTGATGAGATTGTAACTACATAAACCCGCGCATAATGCAAATTTGGGCGCTCCAGCTACGTTTCCCATCCCTCCACAGGTTTTCCACTGCTACTTGTAAGGGCCTGTTTGGAATGTAGTGCTAACATACACATGACAGTCTTGCTGTTGAACAGCCCTAGTACCCATTCGAATTTCTTGCCCACTCTGAACACAGTTCGTATGAGGCGCTGCTCGAAATGACTTATGAAATTTGCGTTTTGTTGTTTTTCTATTTTTCTATGACTAAGTAATCGTTCGAGGTGGAACTGCAGTGAGCCACGGTGTTTAGGCTGCTCCAGTGCACAATGGTGAAGCAAAAGTGGAGAAAGTGAAGAGAACAGAGCTCAACAACAACCACCTACCTCACAAAGAACAAGCTCCCAGCTCACCTCCTATTCTGGCCAAGGTTTGTTAAGTGGCTTTCTCTTGTTTTCTTCTGGCATCGACTTTGGAATCATGTTGTGAGTAATAGTCATTTTCAAGTAAAAAATTAAACCCGAAGCTGAGCGGCTAGACGTGTTCCGAGCATTCAAGATTTTCTCACAAATTTTCATGGCAGTAAATATAACTCGTTAAAGGTATATAACCGGTATAAAACTGGTGAAAAGAGCGCTTCGTAGTCATATACAAAGACAGCGGACCCTGCGACTGCGCGGGACTAACGCTAGGGAGAAGAAGAAGAAGAACAAGACTTCATCAAAATCGTGATAAGCTTCTAGACACGTGACTGCTGCACACACTATTTTTCATCATTTCTATTTATTATTAATTTATTATTTTCTACCCAAATTTCTTCTGAGGCACAGAGGGCTTCTCTGTGCCGTTAAATTGACGTCATCTTCTTCCTCATTATCGCGCCATCATTTTCTTATAATGTCATGTCCTACTTTTATTCTTCAATCTGCGTTACAAAACTCCCTCCTCAACTCGTTGCGGTGTTTCAGGCGAAAAGCGAAGGAAATCTCATAGAAGAAGTGGAGAACAACCCTCCTGTCAATTTCGATGACGTGCCCATCAAGCCAGCGAAAGGAGGGCAGTATTTCGACGGAGACATCAATGGTGAGAACTGGCGCTTTCTTAACACGTGGACGACAGCGTGACGCGGTAACGCGTCCCACCCAACTCATCCGTTTTTCTTACGCTTGCGGCGCGACTTATTCCTGATGGTAAAGTCGTTGTGCTCATTCTATAGGTCATATATTAGCATACTCAAAAACCACATGGCTCACAGAAAGGCCAAATATTTTTTAGTTTGGAAAAGTTCTTACGGACATGTCGGTTCAGTTCATTCCTCATTTTATTTTCACCAACGTAGACATGCTGATAAAAAGGGAAAAATTGAAGTAAATACAAACCTATTCGTATGGTACAGTATGCGTTTTTCCTGAAACAACCACGTCCAAATTAATTTTGGAACCACCCACTAAAGGGAAAATAAGTAAAATTTGGCAATTCATGGCCTTGATACGTCATTTAGGTCGAACTTCCACTACTGGAACTCCCGATAAGTTAGACATGTCGAACATTCAACAAACACTTTATCGCATCTAAGTATTGCGTATTACATACAGCTCAAAATCCATGGATTTGTGTGCGGCGGCGGCGCTCGCAAAATCGCTCTGGTCCCACGCGGTGCAAAAACCCAAAACGCGCGATGTCGTCAACGTGTTTAAAATTGTTCGTAGCTGCTGTAACCTTTCCAAAAGGTAACGACTCTGCCACCCTTGTTAGGGGGGGGTCGCTCTTCCAGCAACCTACCAACACGTTCTTGTGCAAAATTAGAACTTCACATGATTTAAGCGAGGAATACGGTCTCCAAGGAACCATGTATGTTCCTCTGACCCAAAAGACGCCGATCCCGCGACCTAGCCATAGGCTATTATGCTGGTCTGGATGACCTATAAAGCTTCTCAATTTCTGGCCACTTCTTCATAACGAACTCCCTTCTTATTCAACGATAATGGCTAGTCAACGGTTGCCTGGCACCGCATTACCTAGCCGAAAGCCTATTTCTCCGATGTATGCTTCGGAATACCTGCCGCCTATCCATGGTCTCCGAACCTCGAAATCCATGAATTCATGGCTCGACAACCGGAAGGTTCTTTGGACGCCGCGTGAGGCTTTTCCTATAATTTCGG